CTTCCGTTCCTCGCACCATCAGACCCTCCGGAGCCTCTTTCCAGGTTTCCAGGAGCCCGCTCTCTGCCGCCCGCGCAACCCAGTTCCAATTCTCCCCATGCTTTACCTGCCAGGCCATCAGATCATACTCTGCGCCTGCTGGCCTAACGCAGTCTGAGATTGAGGGCAGAATAGTCGATCTGCTGAAGAACTTTGACAAGGTATGTGGTATCAAGTTTTCTTTTCTTTTCTTTTTCTTTTTCTTTTTCTTTTGCCCTTTTATTGTCTATTTCTCTACTGCAAAATATATATCCTACAATAGCGATTTACTCACGCGCAATTTACAGGTTTCGGATCCATCCAAGGTATGAATGATATATATGTTGCTTCTCCCAATGCATTGATGTGGGATTGATATAAGATACTTACAATGGTCGGTGTGTGAAGATCACGAGCACCTCGCACTTCTCAAATGATTTGGGATTGGACAGCTTGGACACCGTCGAGGTTGTGATGGCCATTGAGGAGGTAAGCTGTCTATCTATATTACTCACAGGAGATAAAATTGGCATGGTGCATTATGTTTGCTAACTCGCGCGCTCGACAAAACAGGAATTCAGCATCGAAATTCCAGATAAGGAAGCCGATGCCATTCACAGCAGTACGTTACCTCCTGCTATATATCCATAAACTATCCGGATTCCCCGTAATATCAAGCTGGGATATGAACGCTTTACTAACTAACCAATAATAGTTGACCAAGCTGTTAGCTATATCCAGTCTCAACCTGATGGTATGTTATCACCACTACACTCTTGTTCTATAGAGATGCACCATATATATCCAATGTGAAGAGTCTATGACCTCTGCTAACTTGACTATCTGCAGCCCACTAAACGTATACACCCCCAATGATCAGCGAGAGGATGGAGCGACTCTAGATATGCTTGCAGCGCCGTGGATCTATATAGTATCATTGCACTCAGCGCTGGGGGAGGGGATGCAAGCAGTATTCTAAGGGAGGAGGGTGTGCGATTCCATCTATTAAAAAAAGAAGAGGGAAACCCGTTACGTTTCCCGTTCCCATTCCTCATTTGCCATATCGTGTACTGTACATCAATCATCACTTTTTTTTATTCTGTCTCTTTTTTCTTTCTCCTTCTTTGCCGGCCTATAATTGTATGGAATTCTGTGTGAAAAGCTAGAAGCGCCCCCCGCCTGCGCCAAGAGTGTATGTATTCGTGTAAAAAAAAAAAAAAAAAAAAAAAGGATTGTAAAAAGAAGAAACGAAACGGAACTGAACCACCTACCACCCATTATAAAATAGAAAAAAATATATCAGCAGCGCTCGGCATCAATACTCGCCTTCCCAAAGCAACGATAGTGGTTAATCACTAAATGAAAATAGAACGCCTTTAGAATAGCAATGCCGATATATAGCCGCTGCGAGGACAGATCTACTTCAGTAACTCTCCTCATGAGTGCTTCCACCCCCGATGGGATTGAGAGATTGATGAAGCAGCTACATCGCGTCAACCAACTTCACCAATATGTTCGTTTCATGGCTCATGCGGTATTGAGCAGTCTGCAACTTTGACTTCAGATATAGATAGATGGATGTGGAGATGATACATATATTGTATATATATGTATATGTATAATAGGTCAACTGGTCGGCGAAAAACTGGTATACCAGATCTATTTTAGTGAAAGAAACTTGGATATTCTCAGTTAAATTTTATAGTCAGCGTCCATATATATATATAAAATAAAGCAATAATTAATGGTAAGAGCAATAAATAACAATAGAACATTTTAACCCCATTCTCCCGCCCTCTCCCTGCCAAGACCCGCTGGCCCAACCCCAGCGCGCCCATCCATCCCCCAAGGCAGGCAGGGCAGGCAGAACAGAACAGCCAAACCAACCCCATCCGAACAAACAAACAACGAACTCTCCAACCTTCCACCGCCGCTGGCCCCCTAAATAACTCTAGCTGTTACATCCCACCACTATATCCATCCCGTACTCCAATTGATCGGGATCTGCTTCTCGTCACCTGGCGCTGCTCCGCGGTATCTGTGCCCTGAGTCGCAATCCAGACCTGACCCAGTCCACTAAAAATACAATTTTGCTCGGGCTGAACTTCATCACTCTCGCTCGCTCTCTCCTGAGAGAACGTAAATATAAAATATACCGACTATCACTTCGCCTTAGGTCCCTCGCCAAAATCCTATGCTTCACACATCTATCAACTTCTAAGCTTCCTTCCCTCTCTCCCTCCCTCCCTCCCTCCCTCCGTCCCTCCCTCCGTCCGCCTAACCTCTCTACCTCTCTCCGTCCGGATACTCTTACGACCAACGCCCTAACCTGACCCAGCCGTTGCCCTCGACCCACTCTGCCCTCCCTCCCATGGCTTCTGCCGGTGGTCTGACCCGCCGTCGCGGAGGTGTACGTTCCAACACAGATGATATCAACAATACCAATGATAGCAGCCGCGTCGCCTCCCCATCTCCCCTAAACGGCTCTGGTAGTTTCGACAGCCGCGTGCCAGAGACATCGTTCACCTCCAGCGGCCAAAATGGCGGCCATAAAATTGCCTTTGATCCCCGTGATATTAGTGAGAGTGATGAGAGGAATAAACAGCCGAAACTTACGTTGATGGAGGAGGTGTTGTTGATGGGGTTGAAAGACAAGCAGGTATGTTTTTGTGTGTTTGTGTGTGTTTCTGTTTGGGGATTTGTCGTCCCCTTCACGAAGTTAGCGGCTCTCGATCCCTTTCTTAAGGCCCAACTGTACGATTGGATCCTGTTGCGTGGTCGTATGTCATAGTAGCTGACCTTGGAGCTGTTATCATATTTTTCCTTCTGGTTTACTTAGGGATACCTATCTTTCTGGAACGAGAACATTTCATACGCTCTACGAGGATGCATCGTTATCGAATTAGCTTTCCGCGGCCGCATTAGCATGCAAAAGGATTCGTCGAGGAGACGCTTCCCGCTTGCCGACCGGGTAATCGAGGTTATCGACGACACGCTGACTGGAGAGGTCTTGCTGGACGAGACTCTGAAAATGATGAAGTCGAGTGAAAAGATGAGCGTTAGCTCCTGGATTGATCTCCTAAGTGGTACGGTCATATATTTCCCCATAACTATGCAGGCGAAATCACCATCAAAGGAAGCCGGGCATATGTGGAAAAAAAATTAAAAATTAAAAATAAATGAACTAATAGGTGTTTAAAATAGGTGAAACCTGGAACCTTATGAAAATCGGCTACCAACTGAAGCAAGTCAGAGAACGGCTGGCAAAGGGCTTAGTGGACAAGGGTATCCTCCGAACGGAGAAGCGCAACTTCCTTCTCTTCGACATGGCCACCCACCCCGTTGCAGATACCGGCGCCAAGGACGAAATCCACAAAAGAGTCCGGAACATCTGCAGCAGTCGCACCGTTATCCTCAACCCGAACCAGTTCTTGCCTGAAGATATTGAGTTTAGATACCTGCGCACTGTCACGATGGTTTGTGCGGCTTATGCTGCCAACGTGCTTGAAAATGCCCTAGTGACCATGGGCCACGAGGCGCGGGAGAGGGCTTTCGCGCAGGTAGACGAGCTGTTGTCTGAATATTCACAATGGCCGTTTGCGCGGCGGACAGGTGGTGCGCAGGGGATTGGAGCGAATTTAGCCCAAGCGGTTAACGAGGAAGTGGAGAAGGCGAAGGATAGGGAGCTTCAACTAGAGGTACGTTGGAAGCAAAAATCATTATATTTCTCGTTGGACACCGTGCAGTTTCTGTCTAATTAAGTATTTATGAATGTGGCTAATTTAACGATTCGATACAGGTGGTGGCGGCGTGTTTGAACGTATTTACTCGTCTGGATTCCCTTCTCTGAGCGATCGCAACCATTTGTTTCAATCCTTATTTCCCCATATATTCGATAATGTGTCACCATTCTTTCCACGCGCGACCTATTTCATCCACGCATCCATCTCATCCACAGCCATTCCTGCGCTATGTAGCTACCCGGGCTCTCTCTAACTTTCTCTCCGATTATATTACCCTCTTCTACATCGGTCTCTACACTCAGGCCCTTTCAATACTTTTCTATCTCATGATGAAAACTGGGGAGGTTGGGGAAAGGAGACGCAAAACGGAAATTTGTAAAAAGCGGGAACAAAAAATTATCTCTTTTCATGGCAGTGAAAACTTATTGTCTGGATCTTCCTCTTCTCAGTCATATTTGTTACGTACTTCTCTAAGCCTGCTTCTCTCATCTTCCATATTTCATATATTTCTTTTTGCAGCTCTCTTCTTCAGTTCCTCGCGCCTGGTCAGCCTCCCGCTTCGATACCGGATTCCTTTTCCTTCTTGCTTATTTTTTTGTCTTTAATATCGCCTGCTTTTATTAATCAGATTCTTTATGTTGTCTCGTCCGGCAATCCCGCTTACACAAACCGTCTTGTTTCCCGGCTCCATGCCCCCCACTTTATCCGTGCTTTTTTACCTCAGACGAATCATGGGGTTATTTCTTTACACGCCCAAGCGGGCCTTCTGGAAGAGCGAGGAAATGAGCTATCTATGTACGAGAACCTCAAATGGGGCTTGAAACTGTTGGGATTGAAATGAATAGGTTATACCTAGCGTGGTTCTTTTCCTTGTCTATTTCTTCGTCATCCTGTGTGCTCTATTCCCTTTTTCTTTAGTTTGCTACTATCATGTCTTCTATCATAAGCCTTTTTTTTTCTATCCCCCTCGATATTATTTATATTTAGTATTTAGTCCTCCCTTTTATTCTATTGTTACTATTATTATTACCATGTCTCCCTCCATCTAGCCTCGTACAATCCCCAACGCTGTTCATCCTCTATAGATGATATATGATGATTAGAGTCAAGTTGACATTGCTCAGACATAGCTATGGCTTTAAACCGACATACAGCATTCTTTCATTTCCGTTATTTCACGATGACAGCTTCCCCCCGCCCTCTCCCATGTACTGTATGCCAAAACCAACCCAAGCACGCCTACCTATCGTAACAATTGACCCTCAAAACCACTTTACCCCTCGATCTCCTGCTCTCCACCAACTCCATCGCCTCTCGCCCCTGATACAGCTCCATCTCCTTCTCCACAAACGCCTTCAACTCCCCCTTCTCCACCAGCAACGAAATCTTCTCCAACTGCTCCCCGACCGGCCGAACAATGAAAAACCGACTCCTCAGCCCCCTCTGCGCAATCGCATCCCTGACCCCCGCCCACTCGGGCTCCTGCTCAGGAACAGGCTGCGCAACACTAATAATAATCCCGCCATCCCTGACAACAGCGGGATCATACGCCTGCCGCAGTGTCTGGCCCCCAATACAGTCCAGCACAAGATCCACAGGCTCCCAGGCGCGTTTCCGAAACGCCTCGGCGAGCCCTTCCTTCTCCTGCGTGTAATCCACCACCTCATCAACCCCCAACTCATCCCTGACAAACCCAGCATTCCTCCCAGAACACACCCCGCATACCCAAAACCGCCCGCCCCGCGCCTCCTCCCCAAAGAGCATCTTCGCCCTCAACATCTGGCAAATCATCACCCCCACCCCACCACTGGCATTCAGCACCAGAACCCTCCGCACCCCGTCTTTCTCTTTCTCTTTCTCGCCCTCCTCCGCCCCTTCACTCTCATCACTATACCTAACCCACCCTCTAACCCCCGCCTGCTCAAACAGCGCCTGCCACGCCGTCAACGCGCTCAGCGGCACACACGCTGCCTGCCCCGCACTCACATTGCGCGGCTTAAACGCCAGCTCCCCCTCCACCGCCACCGCGACGTCCGCGGCGCCGCCATCGCGCGCAAACGCCAGCAGGCCAATGACCTCGTCGCCGACTTTGAATTTGGGGCCCGTGACGCTGCGCGAGTCGGTCTGGGGCGTGGAGAGGACTATGCCGCTTATGTCGTGGCCGGGGATGCGGTTGAGGGTTGTTGTAGTGGTGGTATTGGTGGTGGTGGGAGGGGAATGCGGTGGGTCCGGGAAGAGGGTTTCGGCCCACCCGAGCTCGCCGCGGCAGAGGGCTGTTGTTTGGATTTTTACGAGGTATTGGGATTTCGTTGGGGTTGGGGGTAGGGTGGGATGGGGGTGTAGAGGAGGGCGGAGGGGCGGGGGGGGGGGTTCGTGGTTGTGTAGGGGTGGGAGGCGGGAGGGGGTATGTTAGAGGGCGGGGATTTTTGGGGGGGGGATGTTGTCTTGCTCGGCGAGGGTGGTGGTGTGGGTTCGCGGGGTTTGGTCCATGGTGAGGAGGGCAGGGTGTTTTGTATATTTATTCATTATTTTCCAAGGGAAGGGTGAGTTTGGTTAAGCTAGGAGCAAAGGGGCGAGGGCAGTAGTATGGTATATATCGCATTGATTATCCTCCCTCTCACTCAAGAATTATATTAAACAGCAGATTAAAAAAGATTAAATATATAATCATCGAAGCAATCCGTACGGAGTAGATTGAGGAGGATAGCCGCCAAGCCCTATATACTGGAAGTTGCTGCCAGGCTTGTGACGTCAATATCAATACGAGTTTGGCGGGATTTAGCTGGTGGGCTATATAGAGTGTGTCGCAAAATAAAACCTTTAGTTATCCCGAACTCCCCCTCCGTGGAAAATATAGACACTGTTCGCTCGGGATGGCTAAGAAAAAATTGATCAATGGTTACGGAAATATTCCGTTCGGTGAATGCAAGTTTCTTTCTCAATTCATTTATAAATTATAAATCAGCACATTGCATTCTCTCACACACATGTTCGGCGGGACACCAAGTTTAGTTCCGCCGCTCCCCTCCTCACGAACTCTGGGATGGGCAGTAGTTTGTGCCGTATAGATATCTAGATATACATACATACCTAAGAAGTAAACGAAAAAAAGCGAAAACGAAAATAAAAATGAAAATAAGAACGAAGAAATACAGAAACAAATGCGACAAGGGGTATATGGACATTAAGGCGAGTCAAAGACGACACACTATAAAATAGGAAATGGAGGTAAAAGGAACACTTAACCCGAAATAAAAAACATCGTCCGGTGTAATGTATGAAAAGGCTGTTGGCTCCGTAGTGAATGGAGAGAAGACAGGAGAAATCAAGAAGAAAGGAAAAAGATAAAGAAACCGACTAGAAAAACGCCGTCGTCGCGAAAATTCCCGCCCAACCCCAATACCGATGGCAATGAATCAACGAAACCAGCCCGTAAAATCATCAAAGAGCCGGAAAAAAAAAAAAGAAGCCGAAGAACAAACCAGCCAGCTACCTAACCCCCATTTACTCTCCCCGCTGCAACATATCAACCTCCTTATAGAGATGCTCCGGATCGTTAAAAACCCTCCACACATCATCAGGCACGCCCTCAAACGCCTTTAGAAAGCGCTTCTCCTTATTCTTCTCCTCCATGTTCCCCACATCCATGACTCGCCGGATATATATGGCGCGCACCCACTCTTTATGCCTGTGGTAGATCTCCGCATACGCCTCCGGGTCGCTTTGCGTTGAGTCGCCGATGCAGATGACCTTCCGTTTCGGGAACCAGCGGTACAGCTTCTCCATGCGGTCGACTTTGTACGCCTGTGTCCCCTTCGTGAAGGATTTCAGGAGCCCGCTGAGGTCCATCCAGGATTTATCGCGTAGGATAAGCGTGCCGTGTGGGTACTCTTCGCGGAGGAAGGATCGGAGGAATGGGTATAGATTGTATGGTGACGCGGAGAGGTAGAACCAGGTGGGCTTGAGTTCTTTCTCGATATATTTGTAGAGACGGGGCATGCCGGTGATGGAGCGTGGTTCCTCCACAAAGGTGGTGCGCAGGATGCCGATGGCGTCGCTGGTCTGGGTGTACTTGACGGTGTCGTCGACGTCGGAGATCATCAGCCAGCCGGTCGAGGAGGCAAATTCGGTATCCATCGACACCTTGTGGTCCCAGTGTCTTAATGAGGGGTGGGTAACAGTTCCATCGACGATGTCAGACCCGCCGATCCGGACTATCTGGGAGATGATACCGTGGCTATTGGACGGGTTTAGCTTCCGTTTGACGATAGTGTGGCGCGTGAGTGGTATATCCAGGCTTATGGAGCGGGCTGGGGCTATAGAATCAACAAACGGCTGTACTCGCTCAGTCATGCGCTCGCGAACTTCTTTTTTATTCAGCCCAAAGTCCCCATCTAGCCCGATGGCGTCCGCTATAGTCGCGACGAACTTGCCAACCTCCTCACGACCGCGCTTGATGAAGATGCATGCGACTATCTCCACCTGCCACGGCTGATTTCTGTTGTGGAATCTGCCGCCCGGCGATCTGTAGGCGGTGTTATCTAGGAGCCATACCCTGTGCTGCTCAGGGTTCGCAGGTTGAACTAGAGGGTTTCCTCGTCCCAGCAACGAAGCAACGATTCCTAAGAGAGGTGTTAAATGCAGGGGAGCGCGAATGGAAAGGGTATTCTCGACACGATCGAAGTTGCCTTTGGACCGAGTTTCTTGTTCTTGTGGCGTTTCTTTCTTACGCCGCGCCTGAGTAGGAAGCATAGTAGTAGCAGTGAATAGCAGAGGAGGCACAGAGGGATCTAGTTAGTTAGTTAGTAGACGCGGAGTGAGTGAACAAGTGAAGTCAAGTAACGTTTTCGATTTCGAAGTAGTGAACTATCCGACCAAGGAATGAGCACAGGTGAGGAAGATATCAACTTAATAGTTCTTGAAGTAGCGGTGGACAACGAGTGAAAGAACACAAAACAGGCCAGGACAACGAGGTCATGTTGGAAAGAGTCCAACAGCGTAGATTATTTATCTATTTCTGTCTGTCTGGCGGCAACAAGCAACAAGCAACAAGCAGCCATGTGAGGTGAAGAAGGACCGCTTTCCTCCCTTCACACCCCCCCCCCCCCCGGGGGGGCCCCGCCGCACATAATCCCCGCACATAATCAGGAGCCACCACCACCGCAAGTGATCATCTTCAACAATGCGGCTGCTCTTGGTTGGCGGCGAGAGACGGCGCCAACTGATAGGCAGTGAGTGTGGTTATCATAGAAACAGCCATCCGGCGGTTGACAGCTGGACAGGACAGCCTGACAGGACAGAGCAAATACATAGTAGTAATAATGGATGTGTGGGACAAGCAGGCTTGGGTATTTTCGTGATGCAGCAGACCATGAGAATGAGATGACATGAGCTGGCGGTTGGGGGCTAATAGTAAATAACTCTTTATTCTTAGCAAAAAAGGTGTCAGGAATCAGTATTATTTATTTTAGCAGGCTCTAGTAAGGAACTCACTAACTAACAAGCAGTACTGCGTAAGGAAAGCCCACAATGATCAGCCCTGTCTATTATTTATTATTTATTGTCCTTTCTGTCCTTGTCCTCGCCAGCTCTACTCCGTATTCCTGGTGTCACTGGGCCAGGTCAGGAGATGTTGGTTGTTTGGCATTATGAGTCTCGTGCAGGTATATTATTAGGTAGATAGAAGAAGAGAGAAGAAGAGATGTAGTTATTGCATTGCATGCTTGGTTCTCTAAATTCTACGTTTAACTATTCCCATGGTTCTTTGAATTATATTGTTCTCTGCTTTCTTTTGGTCTGGTGCTAAAATATGTAACTCTATTCCCAACAAACACGGCTTAGGCCTATTTTTGCTTTGCTGCGTGCTGTGTCTACAACCCAGGATGTTGATTTAAATAATATGAATTAGACTCCTCCGAGAGCCAAAAAACCATTCAAAAGGTCAGAAAGGTGACATTATAAATAAACAACAGAGGAATGACCCTACCTACCCTGCTTAGCCGCGATAAGCGTCCACCACCTAACTTAGGTTAAAGGGCCCAGGATTTAGCGCGGGTCGTGCTTGGCGTTCCACTCTTCTGGATCCATTGGCATCATGTTTTCTATATCAATCAGCCCACATCATTGCATCTATTATTAGCTTTGCTTGTTCGAAAGAAATAGACAAAATATTGGTTTAAGATGGTTCTTTCTTTCTTTCTTTCTATTTCATGGCTCCAGATCTGTAATTGAGCATTAAGCCTATCCTATCACTTCCACATCAAAAGGCGACGATGTTCTCTACTGTGCATAGTCTCTGGACGCAGGTATTTCCTCCACGCCCCCTGTTCACGGAGAAAAACTTGCCGGACCTACAGGGAAAGGTAACTAGGTTGTCTATCCATTCTCATGCAGGGGACTTTTTATTTTCCATTTCATTTCTTCACTTCAGGCGCCATAAGTACTAATAGTTCTATATCCAGGTCTATATCGTGACGGGGTCAAACACCGGAGTTGGCAAGGAACTGGCCCAAATTCTTTTCTCCAAGAACGCAAAAGTCTACATAGCAGCACGCTCAGAGGACAAGGCCAATAACGCGATCAAGGAGATTCTAAAAGCCAACCCTGATTCCACAGGAGAACTAACTTATCTACCCCTCAACCTCAGCGATCTAACAACTATCAAATCGTCCGCTGAAAGTTTCCTGTCCAAGGAGAACAAGCTACATGTCCTCTTCAACAACGCTGGCGTCATGACGCCGCCCAGGGGCTCCAAGACAGCCCAGGGTTACGAACTTCAACTAGGGGTCAACAACATCGGCCCCTTCCTCTTCACAAAACTACTAACCCCAACACTCGTATCCACAGCGAAGACGGAGCCGCCCAACACAGTCCGCGTGATCTGGGTTTCCTCGATCGCCATGGAGACAGGCGCGCCAAAATCAGTCGGCGTGCCACTAGACAAACTGGATAATCTCACCGACAGCAAATCATCGCAGTATCTTAATTACTCCATCAGCAAGGCTGGGAATTACCTGTATGCCGCCGAGTTTGCGAAGCGATATCGCGCCGATGGGGTTCTCAGCGTAGCGCTGAATCCGGGGAATCTTGCTTCGGATCTCTCGCGGCATCGAGCGTTTTTGTTCAAGGCGGTGACGCGCCCGATGCTATATTCGCCTGTGCTTGGGGCTTATACTGAGCTCTTCGCTGGGTTGTCTCCGGATGTCACTGGCAAGGAGCCAGGTAATTGGAGTGAGTCTTCTCTCTTTTCTTCTTCCCCCTCTTCCGTTCGCTGGCAGGCGGGGATATGCGGTGTTAAATATATTAACTATTGCGGTAATTTTTTATTTTTAGTTATACCATGGGGACGGGTCGTTTCTGTTCGGAAAGATTTGATAGAAGCAACCAAAACTGAGGCAGAGGGAGGTAATGGAACGGCGCTGAAGTTTTGGGAGTGGACTGAGAAGCAAATTAATCCTTATCTTTAAGCCGCCCTTTTTCTCATCCCTTCTTATCTTTTCTTTTCCATGTACTACTACTGTACGCGTACGTGTTGTATACGCTTATGATGGGTGACTGATCGTGCTGGGAGGTGTATGCTGAAAATGTTCAGTTGAAATAGTAGGTGAATAAGTAAGGTTAACTAGTGTGTAGTGTTCAAAGGTATCAGGGCTCTCTGGGTAACAGACCATTTTCTATTGTGTCAAGATGCAAGGGAAATGCAGGGTCTAAGGGGATTGATGTGACGAGCTCAGCTGCAGCTTTATTAGAATCTCCATTATCATCGTGTGAGTGGAAATAAAGGCAGATGTATTTCCCATCTTCCATATCCCTAATCGACCTAGCTATTATTGGACGCCTTAAACGCCACCACGATTATTTACGAGTCCTGAAGCGAATCAGCCTAAACATCAGGCGCCCAAAATAAAGACCGGAGCGAACTGTTGCCAGAAACAAAAAATGAAAAAGACCTGGCAAAACCAGCGATAAGGAAATCATAAACAGAACGAGAGTAAAAAAAAAAAAAAAAAAAAAAAAAAAAAGAATATAAGGATATATATCTAAATGGCCAAACGCGACCGCATCAAACGTCTCATTTCCCTCAAGTCAACCCACCGCTGGACATCCCAACACATGCGCCCGCAGGCAACCGAAGAAGCCATCTATAAATTCCTCTCAAGGACTCCGCCGCCAGATATCATCATCGACTGGCCCTCCTCGACCGGTAGTACAATAGAAACAACAACGACGACGACGACGAGGAATCCTCATCAAGCCGTGCGCAGAAGCCCACTCTTCCACAAACTACCCCCCGAGCTACGACGGCATCTGTATATCCTTGCCTTTGGCAATAGGGTGGTACACATTGAAGATAGCGGTAGAGATAAGTTGACGCGCATGCCTTGTTTCTGTCCGTTTTCAGGTCCAGGGTGCGCACCGTGGGAGGATCGTTGTGACCGTGAATATGGGAGGGGGTTGGATGGGTTGAGGGATCCGATTGGGATTATCGGGTGGTTGTTGAGTTGTCGGATGGCGTGAGTTTTTTATTTATTTATTTATTTATATTTATTTTTTAGTTTTCTTTTAATTTTTAATTTAATTTTTGAATAAATGTTACATGGGGTAGCTTTTGCTTTCTTTGATTTATTAAATAAAATGGCAAAATTACCTTACTAATTACCTTGCTCTTAGGTACGCGGAGACCATCGGCGTCTTCTACTCAACTAACACAGTCCGCATTCTCAGCTTCGGCGGTCTACCGCGACTGCCGACCCGTCTACCCCCAGGTATATTAGGGTGCATTACTTCCCTCGAGCTAATCCCTCGGGTCCGGCTGCACGCATTGCCAGAGGAATTCCTATGCTTGCTGCCCCGAGAGATATTTCCAGGCCTACGCAGACTGTATCTCTTGGTTCGCGACATAGAGCCACCGCTACTCAATTTCCAAGACTACGATGGTGAGTGTGACAAGGCCGCGAAACTAGTTGCGTTTCTTAGCCGAGCTGATCATATCGCGCGGAAACTGCTCGCTCACCCTTCTCGGTTGGAAGTGTTTGAAGTAGCAGTTCGGCACAGCACATTCCGCCATTTGATTGCAGGGCTGGGAGAGGAAGAGAGACGGGTTGCTGTGCGGGGAGGCTTGCGATATCCGCAAGGAGAGCGCTTGTGGAGGAGCGTGGGGGAATTGGATGTTGATATTCATGCGGCTGCTGAGGATGATGTTGGTCGTGTGGGCAGTCGTTTTAGAAAGGAGCGAGGCTATTGGATTCTAGATGATTTGTCAGGCGAATGCGAATGAATAAGGAAAAGGTGCTTGACGCCATATTGGCGTGGGAGAGCATGAGACTGTGCATAAATTCAGGGAGTTATATCTGGTGGGGTATGGAGGGGATTTTTGCTCTCAATTGGCCGTGACAACCCAAGGGCATTTGTGCATGTCCTGCGTTCACATGGACAATATATCACAGATTTTCCTTGTTTCGTTTTCGTCTTAGCTTGCCAAACCCATAGGGAAATGCGTGAGGATGCAGCCATTAAAGCATAAATGCATTGGCCCTCTGTGAGCACGAGAATACTCGCGCACTGCCTCCACTACTTGCAAGAGCTCCCATGCTTGAACCAACACTGAAGACTTGTTTGATAAACAAGAGCCATTTGAACTATGTTCAAGTGTACACCCTAGCTAGGTTCAACACTTGTCCGTCATTGAACTGAGAGAGGGTCTTGTCAGTTGTTTCTTTGCACTCCTGTCCATTCTCAAGAGCCAAAAAATTCTCATATAACTGGAGAGGTCACAGCAAAAAGCAGGGCCATTGCTCGCTGACTGCCATTACTCTCAGATCAGTCGAAGGAAATCATATGGAGCCATCGTCCTCCGTGTTATGATCGTCAAGAGCTCGTTCCTGTCGTTGCTCGTGGCTATCAGGCTAATTTGCATCTGCGCATTGTTATGTATTCTGGCCATTCGGCCTGATATTCGGTTTTGATCCACCCGTCAAGAGGAAGGGAGAGAGGAAAATAGAAAAGAATGTTCGTGGATGCCGATGAATGACATTGAGAGCTCTACATTGCCCAATTAATGAGGAAGTTAGCGGTTGCCATTGAGAGGTTGGGATTAAGATGCCAAGCCCTGTTTAGATAAGCCGATTTGGCTCCGGCCGTGGAGAGACTGGAGACTGGAGAATCGACGAGTCGACGACAGTTGGAACAACAACATCATCTCACCTCCCTCCACTCTCCACCTGCACGCCGCGACCTGCCTTGGTATGTATCTTCACTATTCCCTAGTGCTCACGCTAACTGGGGATGGATATCTCCAGGGCTCACACTGTCTGTTCCCTTATCTATCTGGTACTACTGGTGAACTATGGATGCCCTACGTTTCTGCACCAGGTACCAGGTACAGACTACAGACTGGCTGAAGGGTCCCTGATTCTGCAATCGTAGTGTCCTAGCCACTAATCATCATCAGGACAATGGCGCGTTGAGGGGCTTACTTACTCCTGCCGGACGTTGTTAACTCGACCGACACAGGTCCACTCTAATGCTCCGATACGCACCGGGAGACTCCCAGGTAAACAGGTAGAGCAGATAACAATACAGCAGCCGCGACGGATCGGGTTGGCCTTGTTGACCTTGCCTCCCCGAGGCTGGGAGAACATGTCCAGCCCGGACTCCTATTTTTCTGGAAGCCACAGCGCTGACAGGGAGTGGGTTATGCAGCGGTGTGTGGTGTGGTGTGGGGCTAGCGTGGGCATTCGACTAGGTCGGGTCCGGGTCGAATCCGAGTCCCTATTCGAAAATAATAATGGCATATAAGACGTCAAAAAGACCCCCCCCTCCTATTGAGATTCGTTTGAGCTCATCTCTATCATGGCTACCTAATGAGTACTATTATTATTATCCTTCTTTCCTTCTTTCTAGCCTACCCTAAGATGCTGCACCTGCGCTCGTTTACAGCAGCTGCAACTGCTCTCTCCCTCACTTTGCTTTTGGCCGCCGCTCCTACATCGGCTGCTCCTACAACCGCGACTGTTCCCGTATCTAGTTTAACCGAAGAAGTCGACGGGGATTTTGCACTCGTTTACTATGGTAAGGAGAATGCAGAGCCCCTGCTTGTGGGCAATGACGGGAGCGCGGCAACCGGCGGATGGAGATCCTGGAATCTCGCCGCGGATCCCGCCACAAATACCCTGCCGCAGCTGGCAGCTAGTGCCCATGGACGCACCAAGGCGATAGGCCTGATGTACGATGTTGGGGGAAGAGACATTGTTGTCTCTATTGCTGCTACTGACTCCGTATTGCGCGTTTATGAGATGTCGGACGCCGAGGAACGCCGCTCGAACCAGAAGGTGATGTTGGGCGATTGGTCTGCTCTCTGTCCATGGCGCAGCCCCAAAACTGGGAATCAGTACTTTTATTTGTTTGGGAAGAAGCAGGCGGTGCAGTTCATCGTCAGGAGGCATGGGACCAAGTTTGAAATTCTCGAGGTCTGTAGATTCGCCTGCGTTAATTTCTTGTACAGTACAAGATCTTTTTCGTTTTGGATAAATTCCATTTTATTCGGACTAAAAGAAAAAAAGAAAAAGAAAAAGGGAAAAAACAAGAAGAGAAGGCCAATTGATGTGTCCGTCTATATTCCGTGCTAACACCTTTAAAGGTTCAATCATTCGACATTCCCGTCGAGCCCAATGCCTGTGCTGTTTCTCCCAGCGAAGGGACGGTCTACTTCTCAGCGGACGATGATAAGTCCGTCTATACCTTCAAGGCGGAAGACTCAACGACTACTCCTGAAATTACCGTTCTTGGAAAAGCTGAGGATGACGTCACTGGACTGGCCATATACGTTACCGAATCCTCCACATACTTGTTTATTGCTAGCGAGTATACTATTGGCATTTACTCACCAAAGCTTGAGCTTCAGGGAACAGTGGAACTCACTGGCCTAGAGGACATCGAGATTGAGGGCTTGTCAATTGGTCAGAAGAAAAGTACCAACTTCCCTGCTGGCTTGATTAGCTATGCTTTGGAGTCTGAAGCAGGGCAATCATTCGGTGTCAGCTCTTTGGAACCAGTATTCAAGAAGTTGGGACTCAAGGCTAACACAAAGTATGATCCACGCCCACCAAAGGGTTTCCCGAACGGAGATAAGAAGAACGGGTTTGACAACGGTGGTGGCTCACTTTCTTGTTTCGCGGGATTCACCGGCAAAAAATGCTTAGACTTTACTTGCGAAAACGGCTGCTCAAACCAAGGCAAATGTGTTGGGCCCAACGTATGCGAGTGCAACGATTTCTGGGCTGGACCGGACTGTTCATTCATCATCGTGGAACCTAAGTTCGAAACGGATGCCAACGGTGGAGACGGAGATGACCCAGCCATTTGGATCTCCCCGTATTCTGCTAACGAGTCAACAATTATAACTACGACCAAGTCGTCCGAAGGGGCGGGATTAGCCGTGTTTGATCTCACAGGAAAGCTACTCCAAGTGATGAAAGCAGGACAGCCTAACAATGTCGACGTTATCTATGGGATGAATGCTGGTGACAGGACGATCGATCTCGCATACGCAGCTTGCAGAGAAGATCACACGTTGTGGTAAGTGGGAAACGCTTGTTTTCTTTACCTATCCACTCACAATATCCTCCTCCCTCAATGCCCTAAGTAGAAACCTACTAAAACTCTCTCTCCCAGCCTATTCGAAATCACACGCGAAGGGCTCTTGAAGGACATCCCCGGCGGCACACAGCCCACAAAGGACGGCTACAAGGTCTACGGCTCCTGCACCTACCGTTCCCCAAGCAGCGGCAAACAATATCTCTTCGTCAACTCCAAATCAACTGAATACCTCCAATACGAGCTGTCCATCTCGTCTAACGGCACCATATCTACAACTCTCGTCCGGAGTTTTACCGGCGGCTCCGGAGGCAAGACTGAAGGCTGCGTCGTGGACGAGGACGCTCGTGTGCTCTTTGTCGGTGAAGAACCAACCGGTGTATGGCGCCACTATGCCGAGCCTGATGGCCGTAGCGAGGGTACGCTGGTCGCCAAAGTGGGGGATGGAACGCTCTTCGCGGACGTCGAAGGCCTCACGCTTATTCCCGGTAAGACCGCGTCGCAGGGTTTCCTAATCGTGTCATCCCAGAGTGTCAGCGGGTTCTCCGTCTTCCGCCGCGCCGCACCCCACGAGCACGTCGTCACATTCACGATTGGGGAATCGGCCGATGGGCTCATTGACGCTGTCTCGAATACGGATGGCGTGGCAGCGGTAGGGACGCGGCTATCAGATGATTTCCCCCACGGACTTATCGTTGTACATGATGATGCGAATCAGCTACCTGCACCTGGTGGGACGGCGCCGTTGGCTAGCTTTAAGTTAGTGAGTTTGAAGGACGTTTTGGGGAATGAGGCGTTGGCGGATATGAAGTTGTTGGATGAGGTGGATGACAAGTGGGGATTGGATAGGCTGCGGGGCCCCCAGTGCAAGAAGTGGAAGGGGCGTGTATAAATGTTGTGAATAGGTTGGTTTTATAGATATTTTTAGAGTATTATTAGAGATAATGTTGATCCAATTTTTTTTTTCGGCTTTATTCTCGATAGAATATGTGATTGTCATTTTATGCCCGTATCTGAGCTGGGTTTCTGTGGGCTGAAGTAGGAAAAAGGGGGAAATATGATCAAGGAATATTGGAAAAGAAAGGAATAACGAAAAGGGGGGTGGGCCGGAATGTATACGTAAAAGCTCGACGATAAAACCGATGCCACGGCCCATGGCAGCCTCAGGGAATACCTTAAAACTGAAATTCACAGAAGATAAGAAACAAAATCATTCATTAAAAAATTCAGGGAACCAGGTATCAGATGGGAGATACCAGCGTCGCGATAACAGGGCCTACGGGGGACGGGGTGATTTAACGTGTGTGCGGGTGGGAATTTTTGCGATTCTTTCGGTTCTTATGCACCGGAAGAAACCAGACACCTTTTTTTTCCCTCCGTATGTTCGCTTCAGATACAAGTTCGAATCGCTGTGGCGGGGCCGCCGCCTGGGTGACGAGGGCAGGAGTGGTAGGTCTTTCTCTACTTTCGGCAGGGGATGGAGTGTTCCTGTTTCTCGTGCTACAGCTTCTACTTTTGATGATGAAGATGAGGATGATGATGAGGACGAGGAGGAGAAAGAAGTCGCTGCTGATACAGGATCCATGTTTAGTAACTGGGCGACTTTTCTGTTAAGAATGGCTATCTGGGCGTCTTTTTCTTGCAGGTCTTGCTTGAGGGTTCTTGTCGTGACTTCGTAGTGTTTTGAGTCTCATGGTGAGTATGAGATTTGATTATTGGAGGCTGGCGTTTGGGTTGGGTTTGGAGTCGTTAGGGAAGGGGGTCGTGGTGATAGTTTTGTGGCTGTGTTCCGTTTGAGGCGTGCGGGGGAGGTTAGGTTGGGGTTCTGGAGGGATACGAGCCTGATCGGAATCGTGATTGTGCTATAGAGTATGTTTGCTGTGGTCTTTGTACCAAAGCATGTTGAGACGACACTCGTGAAGCTGTCGCAGCTCGGTGATCTCGGTTTCTTTGGCATTTAACCGTTCTTCACAGTGTTGCTTCACAGTTTCAAGGTCTGCCAATGTGTACAGTTCCTGAAACTAGTCACAGTCAGAATTGATAAAAATCCTACTGAGGGCTGTAGGGATTGGTATGAGGGGACCCTGGCCTCATCACTCAAATTTAGCTTTCTACGATCTATGCGTTCAGCTTGCTGAACCATAGCCGGATGCCAGAACTCCCTGATACCATCCGCAGAAAGGGTTGGGAGCACTTCGAGGAGATCCCAGAAATTCATATCCGCACATAATTTATCATTTCTTCTCCTGTTCTGTGGCTCTGAACGATCTCTATTAAATATCCCTGAGTAATCACGAGCCCATTATCTGGGTCTCGCCGTTTTCTACAGATTTAAAGTTTCTAATCGGAGTAGAGGCAATATCCAACTCCACGCTTTCAGGTGGGCCAACGACGGAGCCGGGCAATCCAGCAGAAATAGAGAAGCATTGGGTCCTTGGAGTCCGAGGAAGTTGGGAGGGTCCAACTGGTGTCGACCAGAAGCGCTGGCAACTGTAACACGGTGAAAGTGGTGGAGACATTACCATTGCTGATTCCCACTCCTCCCTACGTATTACGCACCCGTGAGGCGGGTGAATTGGTGGTGAGGCAGGTGACCACGGGATCTCTGAGCCTGTCGTTTGTGAACCTGGGTTCATACCGCTTATAAAAAAACATTGGCATCGCCCAAGGAGATATTTATCGGGGGAGGCATTCTCTTCCTCATCTTTGAAAACGTCGATTTGCTCCCAGAACCGCAGTAGCCAGGTGTTGGAAGGTCACTCGGATCATTTTCCTTGGTTGTAAAACTTGACCGTTGCGTTTTTAGCTTTGAGGAGAAAAGTGACGACATGAGGATGTTCATCTGTGGAAATGGAACATGGGAAGTACAGAAATTTGGAAATTTGGAAAACTCGTGCAACAAGTTGAACGTAAATTTCAAGGAGGAATGTTATACATGATAAACAAAAGCAAAATAACGGTATGAATGAAGCACTGAGTTCTTCATAAGGCATATGGGCAGTTCGTATCTCCCAAGGAGATTGTCTCCGGGAGAGATAGCATTCCAAATTTGTTCCCTGAATCTGTCATGATGGGGGCGCCATTAATTCGCTCCCACACATAGAACAGAAAGCAACAAATAGAAACAGCGCGGCTATATCTAGGTAAAAAGAGTTGGCTAATTTTCAGCTGCCTCGAAGGCCCATATGCCACGTGTAGTCCAAAAAAAAATCAGGATCTCTAGTCGCAAAAGAAAACCACCAGTCTGTGTCAGACTAACAGCAAAATACACAAAATAGCAAGAGTAAATAATGCGTCCGCCAAAGAGAGACTCCCTTTGACGAGGGCCCCCGCTGCACAAGTCGGTGAGATGGGAATACTGCTCCAAAGACTGACAAGAGATCGAATGGGAGTGGAAATAAAGTTTGATATCTAGATCAAGCGAGACACGCTAAGCTATATATAGCTTAATCAGATCTTCACTAAACTTAATTTAGTATGGGCCCGTTTCATTTAGCGCCTTTCCGTTTTAGGCCGTCCTGAGCTTCAAATGTTCAAAAGATGTTCAGATTTCGTTCGACATCAAGAGTCGAAAATCCAGCAGAGGTGAGAGGCCCCCAATTGCTGCAAGCCTAGGGATTGCGGGCGGTTAAGAGCTCTATAGTGATTGTTCGCTTGTCCCAAAGGCATAAAAACACCCGAACTAACTTCCTTGAACTGTTCCCCTGTGAGTTCTCAAAAGAAATCAATCGTTTGCGCGAGAAGCTGTTTGCGTGGGATTGAACTCCGCTGCCCCAGGCGTGGAGAATAATGTTTCCGGAGCCAAATGGCCAGAAGAGGATATGATCGGGGCAGTGGCCAGGTATATACGGACCGCGTCGTTCGATCATTCGTTTATTCGTCGGATGCCACTGGACCATGCTGGAGCCATGAATCGCCCTACCTTCCTGCCGGGTGGGAAGAAGGCAGCCCTTATGGCGCAAACTCTTTGAAGCATATGGCGATGAGGAAAACTCTTTCGGACCAGCGTCCACTTACGGCACTTCATTTTTCGAACTTCCCCTGGGAACTAGCCAAGTACCTATGGGATTGTTTAGGGCGCTGGTGAGCAATATACCTATCCACCTTTGGCTCACATTTTTGAGACATCCCCATTTATATTCTAAGGGGGCTCCCATTTAACTCCGAAATTTTAGCAGAAAGAGAACTTTGCATATCTGGAAAATATTCACAACAGTGTACCAGCTGGAGTTCAAAGAAATAGCACCCTTTTATTCCTTAAAAGCCTCCACGAAAAAGATGTCCCTCCATGACTACTCCCGGTTGATCCACTCCCCATCTCTGAAGTGGGGTACCGTTTTGACCATTTCAACAGATCATGCTGATCTCCATGAACTTGTTGAGATATCCAAAATTACCAACCTGGTGGCACTGGATATCACGGCCCCTTTTCCTGTTAAATCGACAGCCATTCCGGAGGACGATGCACCGATAACCAAGTTAACCGATCGCGTAGTGAGGAGCTGGAGCGAACTGGCAGTCTCTAGTAAAGCCTTCAACAACCTACGAGTATTGATGCTGCACCTACAGGCTGACGTTACCTTGCGCATTTTCTCATACCTGGATCAGTTCCCGTCGCTCGAGACTCTCATTGTAGTGGGTTGTCGGCAGCTTGCTGACAATAGCGCAAAGAGCGTAGGTCAACAACATGGATGGAGCACTCGTAGAGTCAATGCCACCAACAAAACTATCTACGAGTGCTATACGAACTATATTACGTCTGCAAACGCTGCAGCCAACTCGAAAGCGTCAGATTTACGCTCACTACCATTACTTGAGTTTTCTCTAGGAGCTCCAGATGCGAAAGACTATAAGGAGAAGCACAAGTCAGTTTGGTTTCATCGGCAGATCCAAAACTCCAATGTGGGACTGCTGAATAGGAAGCGGGCCACTGAGCGCGAGATTATTGGACCGGCGAACAACAGTGTGAAGAGGCAGCGCAGCAAGGCTGTCCCAAAGATCCAGAAGAGCATGAATACTATGGCCGATTTACTCGCAGAATTCGAAAGGTTTGATACCCCTCATTTTGAACGCCTTCGAAAAAGCCATGGTTTTCCAAACTAACCGATAGCTAGATAATGCTGGGGTAATGCCCGTGCGTAGCCCAATAGTAACACAGTTCAGTGCGGGGTCCCTGGAGATGCAACTAACTCACCAATCACATCTTGTCATCCATGTTCAATTTATGTCTGGCGCTTGCAGAGTAGCTCGTTGGATATAACGACATACACTCAGTCAAATCTCACAAATGGTCCGCTTGGCGAATGTGGCTCAGAAAGCGATCCCGTACCCGCCATACCGTCGCATTGGTGCAGCGCTGGGCAATTTCCTCTCCTAGTTTATTCCTGTGGAAAATTCCTCGTACAGGAATCCCCGGAGTTTGGGGCTTGGACGCATCACAAAACGATGGTGGTGCAAGGAAGCACTAGTGCCGCCGGGGTTGATACGATGGGGCTGCGACAAGCTTCCCTTAAATTGTTTCTCAAGTCGCGGATACCCCATTTGGAAAAGCGGCCAACACATCTCGCGGGGGAGAGACTGGACGGGCCCTCATTCTTAAAGTACTTTTGCTCTCCATCTGATTTCTCTAATTTCGATTCTTAGAAAGTTACCTTCAACTAGACATTCCACACTTTTTGCATATGAATATAATATAGACACAACTATATTAATATATAGATGTATTCATTTTCGTCCAAGCTACTATTCACATTTACAATAAAATACAGCGTAAGGAGCGCAATAATAAGAAATTCTCGATTGGTTTGTTTGGGCTAGAAGGAACCTCGGGATGGATGGCCCCCATGGAGTTCAATAGGCCCACTAAGCCGCAACAGGCAAGGCGTCGCAGCTCCACCTGGCCAGGCTGCGGGCGATGACTGGGCAAAATGACTGTTGGCAGTTGATATCAGCGGGCAGCAGCCAATCTCCCCAGTCGCTTGTCATCCTCCCTCCTCCAATTCCTTTCTCCCTGTCTTCTTTCCATTTATTCCCTTTCTACGAAAGCTCAATGCTCTGTTTCCCCTTCGTTTTTCTTCTTTATTCTTTGAATACAGAAGCCGCCCCCCCCCCCCCCCCAGCCTTAAGCCCTATGCGTTGTCTGTGGGAATCTCACCTTGCCCAGACTTTCCTTTGATCTCTTGCCCCTCCCTCACTGGCAAAGACACTCTTCGTTCTGCAAGCCCCCGTATCCCATTATAGAACAGGCCTTTATATACAGATATATAATTTTACAAATACGATATGGCGGACCGCGGTAGTGGATCACCTGCGGATGCTTCTAGGGACTCACGTTCCAGCATTGATTCACGCTCTCCAACTTCTAACAATGCTCCTTTCCGTCTGGGCACTATGCCCCCGTTACAACCCCGCCATAGCTTCAGTGATTCGTTACGTGCTGCTCCATCCTCTCCTAGAGCTCGTCGACAGCCATCCCTGCCCCAGTCTGCGGTCCAGAGCCTCATCGATAACCCACCTTCCGGAAATGCGGCGGATCCAGCCTTTGCGGGCCGTGATTGGACCCAAATATCGATTGGAGAGCTTGTCACCCCAAGTGATCTTCGATTTGTAGAGATGGATACAGGAATTGAAGAGGCTACGAAGGTATAGTTCGATATCTTTTCGGACTCGCTGAAATAATCAGTAATATTCCAGTAACCCGCTACTAATATGTGCCTTTGTTTGTTTCCCTATACCTACAGGTCCTTATCGACTCTGGCATCCCCGTTATTATGATTCGCGAAAAACCCGAAGATAAAGCTGCTATTGGCACTTTCGATTATGCGGACCTCAATGCATACCTCCTGCTTGTGGTAGGCTTGGTGCAGCCAAGCGAGGAGCATGTTGGGGCGATGAGAGAGCTGGCCAAAAAAGCTAGAGATGGAAAGGAAATCCCACTTAGAGATGTGAAGAAATTGGGCCTGAACGTGCCTATCACAAATCTTCCTCCCAGTGCCAGTTTGATGAGAGCGGTTGAGATATTTGGTGGTGGAATCCATCGGATTATTGTTACGAGAGAAGGTACAAACGAAGTTGTTGGTATATTCAGTCAGTGGCGGCTTGTGAAGTTTCTCTGGGAAAATGGACAGAGCTTTCCTGTCATCGATCAACTTTATCCACGGTCTTTGGCAGAGCTGAAGATAGGTTCGCAGCAAGTAATATCGATAAAGTATGTGCTAATAACATGTTGCGCCCTCTCGTTCGCTCTAAAACTTGCAATACCTGCTCTCAAAAATATACTAACTGGTTCTATAGCGGAGACAGGCCACTCTCTGAAGCCTTGGAATTAATGAACAGTGAAGGGATTTCGTCCATTGCAGTCGTCGATAATCAACTCAATGTCGTTGGAAACATATCTGTTGTAGACGTGAAGGTGTGTTCCTATATGGCTTCCTGTTATGGCTTGCGCTAACCCGAAGTCAGCTATTAACCAAATCATCCTCCCTTCCTCTCCTAAATGACACATGTATACATTTTATCTCCGTTATTCTATCAACCCGTGGTCTGCATGAGGGTAAAGACTCATTCCCGGTTTTCCATGTTCACCCGCAATCAACGTTAGCGCACACAGTGGCGAAGATAGTTGCTACAAGATCCCACAGGTATGGCACACGTATTTCCCAAGAGCCCCCTACGTTGTCAGTCACAATCGTTTACTTAAATAAAAATTTAGGATGTGGGTAACTGATCCCCAGTCCCCTGCGTCGTCGGGGCCTTCCACCCCTTCTCACTCTACCGTTCACATTCCCCTAAACAGCCCACCCACCGTTCCCGCCCAGCCTCGATCTCCATCTCCACCCCCATCCACTCCCTTGCCCAGCCTAGGGCCTACACCAAATAATAACTGGAACCTACCCCCTCCCACTGCTACCCCGCACCTTGGGCAACCTCATAATCCTGCGCCTCAACCCCCAGCTGGCCCTCCACAGCTTCCATATCCACCGTCGATCTCCACATCGATTCCAGCTGCCTCACTCCCCAGTGCGAGGCTATCTGGCCACCTGGTGGGTCTGGTAAGCTTGACTGACATCCTTAATCTCTATGCCCGCGCGAGCGGGTTAAGCCCCGCAGACCCGAGTATTTACCGTAGCCAGCGAAGGCGAAGCAGTAGCTCAAGTCTAGGGATACGAAAAAGTGGAGATGTCGGGCGGGACATTGGTAGGGATGTCTGGAATCGTGGAGGCACTTAGGCATTTGGAGGTAATTAGGAATAGCTTGTCTAGGCTCACCAGTTCAAGTACTTGTCGTTTTTCCCCTCTCCGCTCTTGTTTATCTCTCTTTCCCTGTCCCCTGTAGGAGTTATGGAAAACGCCGTGCATTATCGTATTGAGCCACTCACTCGTCGATAGTGGTGAGAGTTTGATAGTTGATGACTTTAAAGATCTTTGAAATCACTGGCATAAATCCACGGCATTTCTTTAGCATTTCAACTTCTCTGCTATCTTTTTGTAGGATGGTTGGTCTCATTAATCTCGGAGAAGCTAGCTAGATTATATGGCGGGCGTTATCAAAAGATTGCGCCGCTCAGATTCAATTTATACAGCTAAGAAGCACCAGTGGCACTGCTAGACTGGCCGGCGGGACCATGAATTTCACATTTGATCCCATTTGGTCTGGTCTCATACATTTCTTGGTGTGAGTCCCACCAGGATCAGATTTAATATAAGAATAGTAAATGAAAATAATTTCTCAGAATAAACAGTGAAAGATAATTATTCTTCAAAAATCAAAATAAAACTGAGATTGAAAATTAAATTCAGTTTTATTCAGTTTATAATTATTCATATAATCAGAATTTGATAATAATTATTGATAATATTATTAAAATAACAAGCATCAAACGCTCGCTTACGCTCGCTTTGCTGCTTGCGCAGCCCCCTCTACCACTTCCACCATCTACCCCTACCAAGGGTACGACCCCGCGACACAATGGAGACCTAACCGGACAAGGTTATCACCCCCCTCAAGTTTGTTTACCTGTAAAGAATAAGAGAAATAGTAATTGACAACGCTGGCCGCTTCCCCCTCCTCAAAGACTCAACGGTGTGAAGAGGCACGAAACCGGTAGATACTGCCAAATAAAGCCCAAAAACCCGGCAACAGGTAGGCTAGGATTCAGAGGGTTAGAAAGGCACGTCCGCGAAGGGCAGACGCCGTTATA